CAGGACACATGGATTGTCTTGAGCAATTAAAGCCACTGGACTTCACTGATGATCTTGCAGCAGCAGGAACTTATAACCTCTTGTATAACACAGCTGGACCTCAAAAGGAGGTCCTCTGTCCTCTAACAGTTGTACCTAACCAAAACACCCATATGGACCAGGTCTTTCTGTATTACAGACATGTATTTATTTTATGATTCTGATTTAGATCATGAAGTTCCTCTTAATGCAAGGGAAAGAGACAGACTATTCTAAATACATTCTGAAAGTAACTGTGACATCAATTTTTCCAGCAACTTTTCCTTCCCTCCCCCAGTAGCTTTCAGTTCACCTCTAGATTACTGTGAACAATTTTTACCATTCTTTTATAGAACTGATTCAGAGGAAATAACAACCACTGATGACATTAGTAAACTTCAAAGCTTTTATAACTGTTCTGAGGAGTTAAAGTATTCCCAGTTATCACACATACATTGCAAAGAAACATACATCTTCTGGCTAGTGGACAACTGGATGATTAGAGGCACACACCCTGCCACTTTCAGCTGCAGCAAGTCCAGGATGAACACTACTTGGCTGCTAATGCAATTTGTGGAACAGTATTATCTACTCACTCAATCTTTTTCACAATTATTAACAAAGTGGGAAGCACCATCATCATCCAGTAAGGAAACAGATGAGCCAGTCAAAATGCATTTGAGAACACAGCAAATTAGCTCCAGCTAAGTGAAGGACATCCAGCACAACATCATGTTCTCCAGCAAGAGAGCATGGCTGTTGGATGCTATCAAAAATAGGCCATGGCAATGTTTGTAGTTAAAGGAAAAGAGAGAGGTTTTTATGATACTTTGGATCCAAGAGAGAAGCAACAAGCTTCAAAGCTAAACACGTTTTTAACAATTTATCTTAGCTTAAAAATTGTCCTCAACTTGCATTTAGCTTAGAAGTTTGTTTCTTCCATTTCAAAAGTTGTGGGTTTAAAAGCTTCTCTATTATGCCCCTCCCGTCCCAGAAAACCTCCACACTTACAGTAATTAGTGGGAATAAGTAATCTTGCCTCTAACTACACCTCACTTTCCTTGTGGTCTGCACACTACCCTTAATCTCTTTTCTAAGCAAGCAATCAGGAAGAAAACAGCGTTTTTTCAAAATACATTTTAAACAATTACTAAAAGATAGTCTGCATTAAACATTCATCTGATATGATGTAAACGCCACAACTAGTTTAAAAAAAGTCGGGTTTTGCTCCCTACATGAGAGGTATATACATTTTTAAAAGTACAAGTGTCTTGCAACACAGCCTGAAGAGCACTTTTGCCGCAATCCTCTGCTGCAAAACTATGCAACTTCCTACAGTAACACTTTGCAGGAAGTTCCAATTACTACATTTGCAGTAACAGTCAAGAGACAAGTTTTATTATTCTTTGCTACAATGAGAACTTTTAAAGTGACTTCGGGTTGATACTTCTGACTTACTCAAGAGTCTTTTACTCAAAACATTAAAAAAATATATATAGTATAAGTTTTCTTCCATTTAATATAATTTTGAAAGTAGCAAACTAAACACAGGAATTCCCACTTACTGTAAAGTGGCTTTTCCTGACTTGACTTGCATCACTTTGAACTATATGTACCAAAAAAATATCCTTACTGCACATTAGGATGGCGCAGACAGTAAACAGAGCTTACTATGCTCCCCAAACTCTCCAAACTGAGCCCTAGCATTTTAAACCTTATCTATACAATTTAATTAGACATTCTGTGCAAAGCTGCTTTGGTTCAGCATTCAATCTTTTGTTTCCACATCTTAATAGGAAAGCTGCCTTTACAGTAATAGGCCTTTTTCCCTTCCTGTCAGGGATGATTTAATTCCAGATCAGGATGTACAGTCGTGTAATCTTAATTTTAGAAGGATTCTCATACTCATTAGCTCACTAGACTTAGGCCTGCTCTTAAGCAAACTGCCTTTTTAAGCAGGCAGAAGTTGCAAGACATTCCCCTCTAGAGCTATCATAGGGCAGTTTGTGAACTTCCTTTTGCTTTACAGTTGCAAAGAGGTGGCCTAAAGTTGCATTTTACTTCAGTCATTTACATAAAGAAAAATCTTGAAAGCCTTTTAACTTTTTAAGTACTAGAAGCTACAGAAGTCAGCAGTCCAGCTCTCCCAATCTCATACAGCCTCTGCCCAAGATCTCACCAGTATACCAACTCTGACAGTTCATGGAGTGGTTTGGGTTGGAAGGGACCTTAAAGATCATCCAGTCCCCCCCCCTGCCACGGACAGGGACACCTTCCACCAGCCCAGGTTGCTCACAGCCCCGTCCAACCTGGCCTTGAACCCTGCCAGGGAGGGGGCAGCCACAGCTGCTCTGGGCAGCCTGGGCCAGGGCCTCACCACCCTCACAGGGAAGAATTTCTTCTTTATACCTAATCTAAATCTGCCCTCTTTCAGTTTAAAACTGTTACCTCTCATCCTATCTCTACCTGCCCTGATCAAGAATCCTTTCTCCCCAGAGCTTTCTCTGCTCCAGGCTGAACAACCCCAACTCCCCCTCAGCCTGTCCTCACAGGGGGTGCTCCAGCCCCTGGGCATCCTCGTGGCCTCCTCTGGCCCCACTCGAGCAGGTCCGTGTGCTTCTGCTGTTGGTGCCCCCAGAGCTGGACACAGCACTGCAGGGGGGGCTCACAAGAGCAGAGAAGAGGGGGACAATCCTCTCCCTCAACCTTCTGGCCACACTTCTCTTGATGCAGCTGGCAAACCATATTCATATGAAGTTTGATGGTGCCATTTTCATCCTATCTGCATGGCACTGAACTATAGCTATAACTTCTTCCTCTAAATCCAAATGAGAAGTTATTAGAAGAATTGTTGAAGCATCAATTATGCTGGGGAAAAATGGAGGAGGACTGTAATTGAATGTGTCAGATTTATCTAAAGAAAATTATGTTCTCTTTACCTGAAGGTAACATTCATCCATGCAATTGGCAAAATAATAAAAAACCTAAACCCAAAAAACTAGCAATGCTGCAAGGCATCTTGCAGTTATGAAGCTACCCAAGAAAAGAAAAAGGGATGGTCTGAAAGCTGAAGGAGTATACCTCTGAGCAGGCATCAGTCTCCAGGCTACCTGAACCTGGTATTTCAGCCCAATGTGTTCAAAACTAAGGGTAGAGTTTCCTAACAATTTACAAATCAGCCCTAGCCCCTCTCCCCTCCATTGCACCAGGTGGAAACTTGTCTGACCCCTCAGAAAAATACCTCTCTGGTAAATAAAGAAAACACTTCCCCAGATGGAATAGTTTTCGGCCAATCTACTGCTCTGAAGGATCTTGTCAAAAGTTCAGGTCAGCAGAACTATAATATCTAAGAGTCCCTTGGGCTGCTGTAAGCCTGCACCTACAGCAACCAGCTACATTTTTCTTTGTTCCAATTTTAATATCAGCCTTTTTTGCAACATGGACCAGTAACTGCTCCACACAATTCACCATCTTCTCTGAAGTCATATAGACAGCAGTGCTTAAACACACTAAGTGTATGGGGGGTTTTATTATTATTTTACCAGATTATTTATTATTTTTACTGCAGATTAAGCTCTCCAGAACACAATCAGCAAGGAAAAGCAGTAACAATCCCATTGGGGTAATGGTATTGGGATAAAGATATATGATCACCTTCTTTCCTCAATAGCTTCTGGCTTGCCAGTGTTTTTTACCTTAACTGATATGACTACTTGCACTTTTCAGCTATTAATGCTAGAGTTTGCATAACTTTTGTTGTCCACAGTAGTGCACTGCTCTGCATACAGCAAGATAATTCTTCTGTAACCTAAACACAGAGTTCTTAAGTCTACAGGGGTAGACTGCAATTTCTTGAGGCACCAGTCTCACTTTCCTCCACTTGCACAGCACTGGCTGCAGAGATCTGGAGAAAGCACTAATGACAAATGTTCAAGCTCATTTGCTAAATGGATGCCAATATGGGAACTTTAATGCTACACAGTAATGCCTAGTTATTTGATAGGAGCCCAGAACAAGCAATATGCATTCCAGCATCAGCACATCCACTAAGTGCCTCAAGAAGCCAATTTTCCTTTGTCCCCTGTATAAGAAAGCTCTGATTTACAAGGAGCTGATTATGCCCAGTGATCACAACAGGGGCACAGGTTGTCCGAGGATGGATCTCCAGGAGAGGCTGCATGTTGTAACAGGAACCCTTTTTTGCAGGACAAGGCCAGAGTCAAGACACACACCAATATGGTTAACAGTCATGCTCCTAAGTTTATTAGAAAAACAAGTCCTTATATATTCTTGTACATTCTAAAAATAACAGCAAATCCATATGTTGCTCTTGCGCATGCTCATTTCAAAAAATACCTCCTCTCAGTGCTTTCGACAAATACTACTAACCACACGCAGCCGGTAGATAAGTTTCTGCTTTGTTATTTTAAAGAATCCCTTCTTATCTGTTTCTTACCTAATAAGCACAAATTCTTTTGCTTTTAGCCATCCTTAATCTAGACACTGTTAATCTTCTTACCCAAGCACATCATTATTTTAGATGTCATTAATCTTCTAACCCGAATGCTGATGATACTTTTACATTGTCAGTGTATGCAGAAAGTTTGTGATCCAGCATACGCACCCACAGCATGTTACACAGGTGTCATTCCCTACTACCAACTCTTCCCTGGAACTAACATCTCCCAGTCTTGCCACTTTCCCCCCCCCCTCCCATGAACCCCAATCTTCATTGTTCCCTTCCGCTGACCCAGTTTCAGCTCCCAAAACTTCTTCTCTACATTAACACCAGCACATAGATGTGTAGTGCAAGCTGTACAGTTGAGCAGCATTTACGGACTGCTTTATGCCTTGACTTGGACTTCATTACACCTTACCTTTAGTAGGTAGAAACTGTTAACACAGAGAAAACAGCACATGATATATAAGGAAAACAACCATCTGTTCAGAAAAAAGGCCTTGATAGACAGCAGCCAACTTACTTGCAAGGAGAAGACAGGCAAATGAAACGATGTGCAGTTGCTTGACAGTGATATCATAGCGATCCATAAAGAGGTCCAGTAAATAGATAGCAAGATGCCGGGCCACAGGGCAGAGATTGCAATGGTTGCTGAGAACAGTCAAAAGATCAATGAAGTATCGGCGCATCCCAATCTGTGGTGAATGAGCCTTATACACAGGCAGCTTGAGTTCCTATGGAGGAAAAAAAAAAAAAAAGGGAGGAAAGATTGGTACTGAAACAAATGCCATTTCAGTGTATGGAATCCCAAACCAACACCCACCACCTGCTATCGCAAAGGCTTAGCACAATGACTCAGAAATCAGGGCTGCATTACTGCATGTTTTGACAGTCACTTATCTTGCAACTTCTGCCATCCACACACTTTCCTCAAGCATCAAACACTGTAAACTAAAGTTTAATCCAGAAATAACTCGCTGTTGCTTTCTACAGAACACCAAACTTCCTGGCCATGAAAATTGGTCCTGAAGGACTTCTTTTTAAATTTGTTCACCCAAACTGGACTGCTAAGTAAGGTTTTAACAGAATTTTATAGGCAAGAAGGGCAAGATAAGTTTCTCTGTATTGCCCTTTCCTCAGTTGCCCAAGATACTACATCCTGTGCCAAAAAAATGCAAGGGTCTTTAGAATAAATAACATCTATCGAAGATTAAAAAAATAAATCATGTGGTGCATGGCTGTAGCAAGCAACAATAGACATTAACAAAAAAAGAACACGGGAGAGTGATTAGACTTTTTACACTTTTCCAATTATTTTCCATAACATTCCAGTATTTTCTGTAGTAACCTATTTCAGCATTAAAAAAGCTAATTATGGAACTGACAGACTGTATTTCACATGTAATATACAAATTTTAAAGGAAGAATTATATAAGTTTTTGGTCTACTTATGCTAAATCTTCACCTGCAAGGGTTTTTACACACAAGTTTGTAGCCACTATGCAAAAACCAGGTTAAAGGAAGGAGTGAAGATCCTTGGGAATACCCGCAACAAGCTAACAGCACTTAGAAGTTGACACTTTATCACTTCAGACACTGTCATACACTAATGCAGTTACCATGGTCAGACCTGAATTAAAATGAGCCAAAGAGATGTTGATAGGCATGGATTAGAAAAATACTGTTTCAGCAAGGTATCTCTCTCAGTAATTCGTCAAGGTAATACGTCATTTTTTCTATTACATATATTTGAAAATAAATTAGAAGTAGTACAGTGCTGCAAGATAGATGTGTTTTATAGTGTGATACAAAGCAGTACATAGCAGTTAATTCTACTAAATAAATGGGGGCTGTTTTTTAAAAAAAAAAAAGAAGTGTTCAGAAGAAAGATCTGCACTGGCATCCCCATTTACAGAAGAGGCACCACCTTGCACAGCCGGTGCGGTGGCTGCCCACGCTCCTTTCATCCCCTGGAAGGAGACATTCCACGATGAGGTTAACTTATCAGGAAAAAATAGCTACACAATCAGGCTCAGAGGGGAGCACATAACTGGAAACCAGGGAGGCTCCAGAACGAGAAGTAGCTTACAAAGACAGCAAGCCGAGCACTGTTACGGATGATTGCTTCCCAGGCCTTTTTAAAGAAAGTCAGTGAAAAAACACATTCCGGACTGAACAGACACATGCTGTGGACAGGCAAACAGCCCTTTGAAACCTGGGACAGCCTTCACTGGGGGATTATAAAGAAATCGCCCACCAGTAACAATTTATAAAGCAGAGAGACAATGGAACATGTTCCCCCCCCATTGTTTTATACCTAGAAAACCCCCATAAATTTGATTTTTTGATTGCCTTACGCAGAGATTTCAATCCATCAGTACAACTGACATACAAAGGTGTAGAGCAGGAATTCATAGCATATCCACAATGTGAATGTTCTGGCAGAAATGGTTTCAAGCTCAGTGCTTACATCAGTTAAAATAACTACATTTTTAAAAGATATGTCTATATGAAGCTCAAGCTATCATAAGCTCAGGTAGCAAGTTTACCTCTGAAATATTTTGTTCTTCTAGATGACTGGTAGGATCTTCAGGTTTTATTTTTTGAAATGTCCTTCCTATGTCTCAGCAGAGTATACACTATATACTGAGGTCAGCATACATATTTAATGTGAAATTTGCTTTTTAGATCATAACAACAAATGCAAGAAATAAACAATAACTCCAGTTATACATCTAGTCAAAAAATTTGACATGTCTAAATGTTACAGTTTAGTGAGTGAGCATTAGAGGCTCAGAATGAAAGCAGAGATCCAGAGATTTGCATGCAAACCTCAGATGCTCAGAAGCCAGAACTACTCATACTCAGCCCACTGCGCTAGAAAATTCAGTGGTCAAAGCACTGAATTTAAGCCAAGAGCATTATTCTTCTACTAGTTTAACACAGACATTCACTCCCATGTAAGACATCGGCTTTTTATATATATGTAAAATATATATATTTTTTAAATTATTTTTTGAAAATCAATTACTAATAAAGGGCATAAGCAAAAGGCATTCTCATCTTATTCACCAAAAAACCCCACGTGGGCTTTCGTGTAACAAGACTTGACAGCACAGACAAGGTTCAACTTCAGGATTAATGTTAGGAGGAACAGAGCTGTGGTTTCTTGCAAGATCAAGTTCCTAGGTATTAATTGATCCAGGGTAATTACCCTTCTGTAGGCAAGAGCCTTGCCTTACACCACATAGCATGAAGCAGCTAATAAGTAGTTCAACAGGACTGCTTTTACACTGACAAATCAGCCTTAAATGATGAGATTTTCTTTTAAAGGAAAGGGAGTGGTACATAGTGTAACAATGCAAGAGCTAAATAGCAGGCTTACAGTTATCAACAGGGCTGCGGGTATGCACCCCTTTCCATCAACCCCCCACAGGGTTCTTAGCATAAGTTCATCAAGAAAAAAAAAATTACTCCTCTGAATTCAAAAAATGCCTTTGCTGCTTTGGTGATAGTGATGCGGGATCAGCAAATACAATTCTATAGAAAAAAAACGAACTTTGGGGGATCGAGAATAAAAGAAATCGTTTCGATTGCTTTATTTTTTTTTCCTCTTATCTCCAGTAAAGCAACAGAGAAGAAACGGGGAGTCCTGATGTCTGCTGGAATTACCCTTTCATATGCTGCTTCTGTTTATCTTTGACCTGTCCATCTGTACCTACTTCAACAACTTCGCTCCGGGCTACTGAGCAATTGCCACATTGAAATGCTAAAAGCAGCAGCACAGAAGAGGCTCACAGGTGTCTTAGAAAATACTTAACAAGCTTTGCTCAACATATTGATTAGTGTCTCTCCACAAAAAGCCTCCAGAAAGTCAGAGCGCAGCATTTAAAGGGATCAGCACTTAATCTCAAAACTTGCAAAGGCTGGGACTGAGTGTCAGCGTTAAGGGTGAAGACAATTTTTAAGCTGCCACCTACTACCAGCTTCAAGACCTGACCTTCCAAAAGAAGAGAACCTCTGTAAACCTTTTTAAGGGGCGTTAAAGACGACAAATCTTCCTCAGCAATCACATCTGAAAGGCTCCAGACGTGAGCCATTCCCTCACTGCAGACACCGCTCGTCACCGGTAACCTGAGCACTTCAGCTGGCACCATGCATTACCTGAGCTCAGGAGACAAGATTTCCTCTGGTTTGGATGGTTTTGTAACGGGGCTGAGCAAATGCATTTCAGAACCCATCCCTAAAGGAGCCACCAGGCAATAAGATTTACGTCAAAGCTGAGCAGCCACAACAAGTTGGGCTTCCACTGGCCACTGGAACTAAATCCAAACCGGGACTGAAGAGGAAGAAATGTAACAGGCTCGCTTCCTCCAGCTGCCTTAAAGCAGCAACTGGTATGGGTCGGTCTGCCCAGGCCAGCACTTACCTTCATCACCAGATGGTTTGGTGTTCAACATGGCAAGAAATTCCACGCATACTTTTTTTTTCCTGTCCAATTTCTTTTCAGTAAAACTGTTCTCCCACTGATACAAAGCCAGTAGCGAACTGACAAGCAGTCAGGAGAAAAAAAAGTTATCAGTAGAAAAGTTAGCAAGTGATATGACATTATGGTGATAAGTCACACTAATAATGATCTGTTCTCGGAATAAAAATGGAATTCATCAAGGTATTTTAGAACAACTCACAGGCTTTTTGACAAGGAAATGAAACGCTGTAACAAATATGCCTCGGGTTCTGAAATTCAGGGAGATGTTAAATGAATCTGGTTTTCTACCATGCCAGAGAACTGGGACTTCAGTCAGGATCTGTTCTGTGCCACAGGTCAAACATGCTGCATCCCCCGTCCCCCTGCAGCAGCTCCGGTGTCTCCTCCTGCCCGCCCGCTCCCAGCGCCAGCCCCGGCACCCCCGTGAGGGCAGAGCCAGGGAACCCCCTTCCCTTCGCCGGAGCTAAATGAAGCACCTAAGCCAGAGCTACTGAGGATCAGTAAAGCCTAGAAACGTCTAGAAACAGCTGATGCAATACTCCCCTACAGAAACACCGGCTTCATTCACTATGAACTTCATACTTACCTCATTATCATTCTTTTTTAATCTTGCTATCTACTTCTGTTTCTGGATATGTAAACAGAATCCAGTGTGCGGCCCCTGGTACCACAGCTCACAGACGTTCAACACTGACCTTAACCCAAAATCTGAAAAAAGGTTCCAAGTGATGAACAAAGATACCCAGTGAAGTATAACTTAAATTTTAACAAGTTCTCCATGATTCTCACTAATTCAGGGGAAAATTATATAAACGCAAAGACACATCTTGTGCAGTATCAATACAAGGCACTCAAATTTAAAAAAGGGAGAAGCCTACCAAGTATTTAAGTCAGAAAACTAGTAAAAACCACAGTGACTTTGGCAATCATTTAGCTCTCTGTACGTTTCATGTTCCAGAAAAATAGCACGTACGTGACCTCCACTGGATTCTTAAGAATGCCTATAGTAAGAATAACAGATACTGCAAAGTTGTTGGCATTAGAACAGGAAAAGAAATGCCTGTGGATGAAAAATAAAGGGAAAGCTTATCTAGCAGGCTATTAACAGTTGTTCTTTGAAAGAGACAAACTCCTTCCTGTTTTGTGTTCTAACCAAAGAGTTTTCCAGCTGTGGAAGAAAGATGACAAATTGATCTCTTAGATATAATTACTGCACCACACATGAGAAACACTAAAAGCTAACTCCTCTATAACACGTGATTTATGAAGGCAAGATGATCACATACAAAGAAAAAATTAGACTACACTTTTTTTTATAGGAGCTTGAAAATTCAGAGCACTCCGCATGCTTCTCAGCAGCAGACTATGTAGCATGTTACCTATTTAAGGCTGCTACTAACATACTGCTATTCTCTCCCACCCTCCAGAAACTGTCCTTCTGCCTCTGCACAGACTGCAGTGCAGCACCATGCCTTCCAGTAACAAAATCACTCACAAAACTCGCTGGTGTTTCTATGCTTAGTCAGCTGACTGCAGTTTAATTAATTGCTCAAAAAGGTTAGGAGTTAGTGTTTGTGAAGAGTCTCATAGCAAAGCACAGCTGATGGAGATTAGTAAAAGCTAAATGCAAACTGGCCATGCAAACTCAAAGGGGAGGGCAAAGATAACTGGCAGGGCAGTGCTCTGGGTATGGCCAGCAGCATGTGTCTTCTCACAGAGTAGAAATCCGTGGTGGAACTCTGAAACAGCCATGCTCGGTTTGCCCGCAAGCACAAGCCACACAACACAGAGACCAGTGATTACACCTGTTCGAAGACACAGCAATAAGGGACAGCCTAGGATTCTCTGCATCATCTCTTACTCCTCTTTTCAGCCCTGCCATAACCATATCTCTCAGAAGTTAAAATATTTCCAATTATTTAAGCAACCTTCAGCTGTTTTAGACAAGACAATCACATTTTAGGAGAACTGCCAGTCTTGCACAGCGTCTGGATTCAGTATGTAGGAGTAAGACGAACCTGACAGAATCATGTTTCAAAAGTATGTCTGACAGTTCCTCTCATTATTTCCAGTGAAATTTTAAAATCCAGGGATCTTCTGATAGGAAGGATATGTGGGCAATACATCCTTTATTTTTCCCCTCATTCAACAGTGACCAATCAGGCAGACTGAGGCACATCTTAAACATACTCCGCACTGCCACGATCAGTGCTGCCAGCAGCTACCCTTACCGATTTACAATGCATTCCACTGATGCGTGAATGAAACGCTATAAATTACAATTTTCTTCTGTTACCACTGTTCCTGCACACCCAAAAGGAGCAGCATTCTCAAGTCCAACTCCCACAGAGAATGAGAATTCCAGCCACATAAAACAGAACCTCAAGTTCCATCCTACTCAATGACTTTGGCTTACACAGTGTTGTTTCACTTACTCTTTTTCAAAACCCTTCAAAAGTTTTCCCCCCTTTACCTAGATTAAAGGCCATCTCAGACTACTTCTGTGCTCTTGATGAATCTTCCCTACTACCCATTTCTGTCTTTCAAAATATCTACAGATCAACACAAACTCCATTTGTTGAGATTGAGATCTGAGCTTGGAGTAGACACTTAAGTTTCAGGCATACTACCAAGATGTCACACAAAAAACCTGTGGCAGACCACGACAATATTTCAACTCTACATAAAAGTTTTTTTCTGCTTGAATCCACTCCTCCCTTCAACATTCTCACAACAGTCCCAGGCATTTTAAATTTGTGGGAAAGATGAACTAGTATTGTGTTTGAAAATTCATTACTTTACATGTTCCACTGTGGTATTTTATCAAGCATTTCATTAGATTCTTCTTACACACTTCAAAGCATTCAGAACTTCAGTGGCTAATCTGAGAAGGATCAGAGAAAGGAGTGTGAAAATTGAAGTTCCAATTTTAAGGAAAAAAAGAAGAGTGATCATGAATAACCATGGACTTTATTAGGACACCTGTTCCTTTCAGCTTCATACACATGCTGCCATCTAGAACATAAGAAAACTGCTGCCAGCAAGCAGTAATGCTGTTGTTGCTGATTTCCAAAAGCTAGGATTTTTTGTGTTATAAGTGAACAGATTATGCTTTTGTTGTTGGGCTGCCAGTCTTGAATAAAAAACTGCCTTTAACATACCCCAATGCTTGTTACACCTACTTTCTTTCACAGCTGATTCAAACTGGAAAGGTCCGTCAGAATGAAAGGTCAATGTTTTATCCTCTGTTAAACAAAATGGTAAAGAGCACAAAACCTTTCACATGTCTACAGGTATCCAGGACCCCCGAAGTTCTCATCCAGATTTTGTTTTAAAAACAAAACCCAGCAGCAGCACCTACACAACACCCTAATGCTTTCCCTCTGTTCAGAGTGCAGCTGTCCAGTCTGCACCAGTCTGCATTTCAGGCTGGGCCAGGCTGATCTGAACATAACAAACTTACCATTTAATTAATGAAGCACTGAAGGAATGACCAGTTTTTTAAAATAACAAGGACAAGAGTAGACTTACAGGCTAAAAGCTAAAACAGTACCTGTTACCTCAAGACTTTCATGCTACCAACAGGTCAAGTAAACCAGGTGCTTCGGCACAACTACAGAAAACATGGGGACATATGCTGGGTGCAGGGAACACGATTTTTTTTATTGAAGTTTTTACTGAACAAAGTTAGCAACAGGGTCCTGCACTACTTCTAACAGGATGATTTGAAACTTCAAGAAATGCATGATGACAGTACTCAAGACCAGTGAAGGAAAGGGCCCCTCATAACAAGCCCTGTATGGATTACACTCCTGCTTCAGAGACTTCAGTCCAAACTGATACCGTGGGCAAAGCTGAGGGAAATGCTGCACGTCAAAACAGAATGAAACACATGGTGGTGGTAAACAGCATTTCCTCATTAACATCTTTAAATCAAGAGGAGGTGGGAGACAGGTGTAGAGGAGCTTTCACCTAGAAGAAATCGGACATTTTTACCACTTAAGAGCAAAGCACTGTTTACTTTTCAGCAGAAAGAGGATGAGCTCTCCTCACCTGGCTGAAAGTAACTGCAGACAGTAATTTGGACGGCCTTTAAAAAAATCAAGTTACAATTATTAACCTTTTAAATTTACAAGTCCTGTAAAATTTGGCCCTGCTCTGAGAAGCTATGCAAAAGATAAATAAAAAGAGAAATGCAGGCAGATCTAGTAATTCTCATTAATTGCAGGAAATGAACATATCCTGGAAGGAAACAACCCAACATAAGCACAAAAATGGGGAATAGCAAACAGACATCACTTATTTCTGGGACACTCAGACTGCCTTCTGAGGCAAAGTATTTCCTCAATTTTAAACGAACAAACAAAAAAACACCCCAACACCGACTTGTTACTCAGCTTTCCACATCTGTAGAGTATTCAGGGCTACCGAAGCAGACAGAAGAGCTCTGAGTAGATGTTGCAGTAGTTCCACATCCATTCTGAGAGGTCTCTGGTTTTTGAGATGGAAGGCAGCTGCCGGGCACAACCAGTACCCTTCCATCAGCAGTAATGCAGGGCCATCGCAGAAGCAGCTGAAGTACCAGAAAACATCAATGCATACACACAGCACTTTTCTCATTCGGTGTGTGTTAGACTCTTCTAGTACAAACACACACAGCATGCTCCAACTTTTATTTTCCTTCTTGGGTCAGTCTCAGATTTAACGTTCTGGCCTAATCCAAGGGAATACTTCCACCTTTCATTTA